CTCGAGTCGTTATTATAAAATTAGTAATTATTTTAATTGCAACACACATCACGTAAAAAAAAAACAAAAATCCTCGAGAAATAATCCTTTTGAAAAAATTATAAAATTACATTTTTCATTTTGATCGATTGGTATAATTCACTTTTCCCATCTTGTTTTACCACATTATCATTATTATTATTTAAAAAACGAATTCACTGATTTTTTTAATTAAAAAAACCAAAACAAACGCACTTCGCGAGAAGAAAACAACAACAAAAACAAAAAAGCGAAATCCCCGAATAATAATTTTGATATAAATAAATAAATAAATAAAAATATCGTATATGTCGTCTGCTTTCGAAGAAACGTAGCAACGTACTGATGAAAACAATGATGTGTTCTTGCCCTTGAATCAAAAACTAGTCATGAATTATTCCATAATGGCTAATGCATACGCAATCGCGGTTGTTAATGTTTTCTTTTTTTCTTTTTTTCACAAAAATAATAATAATAATAAAAATTTAAATTTAAATTTAAATTTAAAAAACTTGGAATTGGATGAATTAACGTGTATTTAACGATAGAAAAAATCATAAATCATTTTAAATAAAAAAAAAAATCGAATGATGATGATAATAACATACGCGCGTGTGTAAAAAATCACCGTGGCATTAGATGATGGTTAGATATTGTAATCATTATTATTATTATTAGTATTTAAATAATTAAAGAAAAAATTGCTTCCTTGCCAAATGGGAACCGTTTCAATTTTTTTTTTTTTTTTTTTATAAATAAAAAACTTATTCGAACTTTGGCAAAGTAAAAAAAAAAAATTAATTAATTATTTTAATGTTATAAAGAATCCCTTTATTAAAAAAAATAAATAAATAAATAAAATGTTATGGATAATAAATGAATAACATTTACGGTTTGATTAATAATTAATTATTATTATTATTATTTCATCTAATAAGGGTTTAACTTGGCACGATACGTTAAGAATCACACATGACGACGACGACGACGACGACAAACACGAAAAAAAAAAAAAATTTCTAACGGTTTTTTTACCCCCCCCCCCGCGCCTCCCCACAAATGAATCATTTTTCCCGTATGATGATAATAATATTAATACTCATCAATTAATAATTTATTAACTAGAATTTGCGAAATTTAATTTTATTAAAAAAAAAAAATTCTCGTGTGAATTTTTTTTTTTACCGTACATTTTACAAAAAAAAAAAAAAAAAAAAAACAAAACAAAAGAAATGTATAAATAAATAAATAAAATATCGTCTGCTACAATATTTTTTACTGTTATTATTATTATTATTAAAAATAAAATAAAAAAATGCGTTTGAAGTGGAAAAAAAAGGTGCGTAATAAGATTAGATTACGATTATTTTTTAAAATAAAATTTCTAGAAATTTATTTTTCGAAATGTTTTTCAAAAAAAAAAAAGTGAGTAATTTATATAAAAATAAACAAACAAACAAACAAACAACAACAACCACAACTTAAACAATCGATTAATTTAAAGAAACAAATTTTAAAAAAAAATTTTAATTAATTTTTACGAAGTGAACACGTATATATATATACGATAAATAATAATTAAAAACATTTTGAAAATTTATTATTATTATTATTATCACGATGAAAAATTTATAAAAGTTTTTAATAAAAGTAAAATTTGATATATAAACACACACGAAAAGGGTGGACAAAACAAACAAACAGACAAACAAACAAAAAATTTAGAAATAATTATTGTTAAAAAAACAATTTTTTACATAATAAATTTTCGTCACTAAATATTCGTACCGTTAATTACATTTAAAAACAAACAAAACAAAATTAATAACCGGAAAATTAAAAACTTATCGCGGTAAACAAAATTTATAAACCGAACATTATCAGGTATGTTGGCCGATGGATGACAGGAAACTATGGTTTTATTTCAATTATTTAAGAGAGACATATAAAAAAAAAAAAAAAAAAAACCAACCGTGACTCGACCGTTGTGTGTCGAATCGATAGACTGAAAATGTCAGGAAAATATCAGGAAACCCCTCCCCTCTCCGTCTCCCCTCTACACTCACTTTAATACAAACGAACAAACAAACAAACAAACAAAAATTATTCAAAGAATTATAATCGATTTACTTCTTTTACTTTTTCCGTTTTAACCGTCGCCGTCGTCGTTACAACCGAAGTCTGTCTATCTATCATTGGACAACCTGAACTTCCCTACTATTATTATTATCATGACGTCATCGACATTTATTTATTATTAAACTCCCAAGTTCGTCACGCACATCCGTGGTTCCATTTTTTTTTAGGGTGAAAAATTTTTAGGAAAAAATAAATAAATTCGAACTTGGAAAAGGGGTGGTAAACAACCTAACCGTAAGATTTTTTAAATATTAAAATTTTACCAAGAGAAATAATCACGTGGTTGACATGCAAAACCTTTTATCATTATTATTATCATTATTATTATTATTATTAACCATAACGTTTAAAAAAAAAAACAAAAGAATAAAGTTTGATCGATAAAATTATTTTTTTTATTTTTTTTTTTTAAGTACGATTTTATTAGTTTTTTTCCCCCAACGATATTAACGATTATTTTTTCGATTCGTTTATTTTTCCCGCCAAAAAAATTTGAATTTTCTTTGTGAAGTAATAATTTAATTTAAATCGAAATTTCTCATCAACAAGCTGATTTTTTTCTTGCGAAATGCTTACAAAAAAAAAAATTAAAATAAAAACCTTATTATTATTATTTCTATCGTTACCATTATCATCATCATTAGAAAATTAATTTCAAAAGTAGTAGCAATAATGCCAAGGCGGATCTTTAATACGTCATTTCCGGTTTAAAAAAAAAAAAAAAGCTATTATAATTTTTAAACAAATTATTTTAATTAATCGGCGTTAACTAATTTTTCCGCTCGATTTTATGCTTCGTTATCATTATTATTATTATTATTATCTTAAATATTTTCGCGTGTAATAAAAAAAAAAAAAATTTTTAATATTCGTAAACGTTATTTACCGATAACGTAATATTTATTATTATTATTATTTAAAAAAAAAAAGAACGAACGGTTATGAAAAATGCAATTACTCGTCAAGGGGAAAAAAAATTAGTTTTTACCAATTAGAATTGATTTCCGGTTGAAAAAAAAATTATTATTATTACTGCGTTTTTTTCTAATTAAATTTTGCTAAGAGAAAAATAATAATGATGATGATGATAAAATAATTAAAAATTACGAAATTTTTTTTTTTTTTTGGACACTCGAGCGCATTGATCAAGATTTTTTTTTTTTTAAATTAGAAAAAACTACCGTTTCGGTCGAATTCGTTTTCTCTCTCTCTCTCTCTCTCTCTCTCTCTTATTAAACGGAAGATTACACCCCCGAAAGCAGACGACGCTACTCTCAGAATCAAAACAAAAACTTTTTTTTTTTTTATTACCGGAAGTAATTTTTTTAAAATTTTAACGAAATCAAATTGCATAAGTTAAACATATAAAATTTAATCAATATAATCCTAACGTTTTAATATAATTTATTATAATTTTTTTTTTTTTTTTTTTTACAATTACTGTATTTTAAACGTTCATCTTCAAAAAAAAAAAAAATTATACAGGTACACGTTGGAATAATAATAATAATAATAATATTTATTTAAAAAATTGAAGGGTTTCATTGTTTACTAAATAATAATAATAATTGTCCGGTGAACTCGTATATATGAATTCCCACGAGTAAAAAAAAAAAAATTTTTTTTTTAAATTATTCTTTAAATATATTTATTATTTACGCATATTAAATTACCATCATTATTATTCTTATAAAAAAAAAAAAAATTTTCAAGAGTTAAATAAAAAAAAAACGAATGAATAAAAAGATGAGTAATACCAACATTACCGGTTAAAAACCGCGCCCTTTAAATTAATTGTTTAACGTGAGTGTTTCCGTTCGTCATTATATTTGTTGTTGTTATGTTTCCTTTGTTTATGTTTTGTTTTTATAACTCATAAACCTTAAGGAAATTTTTTTTTATTTAATAAATAATAAAATCATTCGACCCGAACGAAAAAAATTTTTTTAAATAAAAAAATTAACGGATATTTTTATCAAGATACCTGAAATTTTCCCTCGTATACCAAAAAAAGAAAAGTGTCAATGATCTTTTTAAAAAAAAAAAAAAAAAGATCAACGACATTATCAAAAAGACTTTTTTGTTCATCAAGAACGGTTTTGAAAAAAAAATTAACATTCAAAACGGTTAAATGACAACAACAACAACAACAACAACCAGGCAGACCAAAAATGGTGACAATTGAAAAAGTCCACCACCATCGGTCGACACATAAAACGAATATTATTTTCTTCTGCTTTAAAATCGTCCCCAAAAAAAAAAAATGGCGGCGCTTTTCAGTGAAAAGTTTTTTAAATTACTTTCAATAAATTTTTCTTTATATATATATATTAATTATCGTAATTAAAATAAAGCGCCATTTTTAATATCGCTTTTGAAAAAGTTTCTTCATATTTATTATTATCATTATTATTATCATTATTTAAATATATTGCCGCCATTAATTTTTATTTTATTTTATTATTTAAGAATTCAATTCGCATTTCTTTAATATTTTATTCATTTTAATTATTATTATTATTATTATTATTATTCTTTATGGTTTTTATTTTAAAAAATTAATTTTAAAATTTTTTGTAAAAAAAAAAAAAATTAATTAAATTGTTCGTGAAAATATTATAAATTAACACACCGGAATATCGTTGTAATTTTTTTTTTTTTTTTTTTACAAATGGTTTTATACAGCCTCACTTGCAATTATTTAAAAAATAATAATAATAATGATAATAATAATAATGATGATGATCGAATAAATGAATATTGTGATAAAAATAAAAATACGTTTATGATTGTAATTTGCATAACTTAAATTATTAAGGCGAAACCAAATCGTTATTCCCGATTTATATTACTAATATACTAGTGACATCTGTAGTTATTTTATTAAAACCGTAAATCAAATAAATAACGCTAGGAGCGCTGTTTGTAAACAAAAACTGTTTTACCTTGTAAATAAATATCTTTAGGAATCCGAAAAATTTATCAAATAAGCGAATGATATTATTTAACGGACAGTTGTCGCGGCCTTAATAACTTTCTCATAACCTTGCCATAATCCCTTGGAATCATTTAATTATTAAATGTTTATATTATTATGTTATGGTTATTTGACTTACCTAAGGGTGACATAGTCGGAGCGTTTCCATCATCTCTCAACGATACGGTTTCTCCTTCTCCATTGCCACCACATTCACGTCCTTCATCATCTTCTTCTTCGACTTCCATAAGCGTTGGAGGAGGACTAACTTCGTAGCCCCATCTTTGTCTAAATGCTTTTGCACCTCCATCCAAACGTATTCTGGGTAAATCGACAAATAATGCATCTCCTATCTGTAAATAAACATTTAAATTATTTTCTTGTATTATTAAAAATTTATCGATCTACATAACAACACAATTCATTTTATTATTATTATTATTATTATTATTACGTTACTCTAAAACCATTTATATTTAATTCCATTCACGCATACAAAGTAAAAAAAAATATTTTTACAATTTATTATTATTATTATAAAAAAAAAAAAAAAAAAAACAACTTTCAAATAATAATTTTAAATGTACGTGTGTGTACGTACGTTAGTTATAATTTGTTAAATTAAATTACGGTGAAAATAAAATAATTATTATTATTATTTTATCATTAGGGTAATATTAAAAAAATAATAATAATAGCGAAAAATTTTTTTATTTTCACGTGTAGATTTTATCGGTCGTACGTTTCTTTTTTTTTTGCGCCCTTCAACTTATTCAGACCTTTTTTTTTTTTTTTTTTGCTATTACAATTCATTTCCATTTGTTAAATTTTTAATACCGTAACACGCACATCCATACATGAGTGCATAATAACATATTTATGAATTAATTACATCTCGGGGGGAAATTGTTTTTTTTTTTTTTTTTAATTTTATTCCAAAAAAAACAAAACAAAAATTCTACGTTTAATGTTTGTCGTCATTTAATTTAAACATAACCCCAAATTAATGACAATGAAAAAAAAAAATGTGTTGGATTGTTGTAACAAAAAAAAAAAAAAATTATACAAACAACAAACAAAATCATGTGCAAAATCAAGATATAAGCTAACCAGATAAACAAGGTCATTGCACCACACACACACACACAGAAACGCCGTTTTTTAATTTTAAACTTAAATAACAAATACAAAATTTATTTTTCAACGAGTTTTTAAATAACATAAACATAAACCTATTTTTATTTTTGCAAAATGAAATCCGAGGAGAATAATTAAAACATACAAACAAACGAAAAAAAATTGGCATTTTTTTTTTTAACCTACCTTAAATGGCACTCTCGGTCTAGATGATGTTCCTGGGAATATCTTAAAAGCAGCGTGACAAAAAAAAATAATAATAATAAGGTAGGGGACTCATAAAAAAAATTAATTATTAATTTTTGTTATTATTAATTAAAAAATGTATATAATAATAATAACAACATACCGAAAGTTCTTCGCTTCTATATGCTGTCAATGTTTGTTCATCTTGTAAAAGAACACAAAAATATGGTTCCCACGTGACTAAAGGAATACGACTTTCCTTAACGCCATTCGATGGTTTGTGTCCAAATTGCAATTCTTTATTTGGAAAAAAAAAAAAAAGAAAAATTTTTTTTTAAGGAGTGGTCTTTTAAAAAGTAAAAGACATAATTTGACGACATTTTATTACACCGTAATATTTTTATAAATCTTTTTAAAATATTTAATAAAAAAATAATCCTTTCGCCATTTTTGTTTTTTTGTTTTTGTTTCTGGAATGTTTGGGTTGGTTTATTAACTTTTGTTTCAAAAAAAAAAAAAAGTCTGAAGAGAACGTTAATATAACATTTTGAAAAAAAAAAAATAAATAACAGACGAGATTTGTTGCGAAAAGAAAATGTATTAGAGGGAAGAAAGAGGAGGGGAAAGGAGAAAAGGGGGCAATGGGGGCACAATCAATTCCTAAATTCATATAAGCCACCCGGTAAAACAAAAGGTGAAAAACTTAGTAAAACGTAATCACTTCCATTTAAAATAATTGAAATTTTTTTTTTTTTACTGTTAATAGTTATTATTATCATTATTATTTTCACTTTTGATGTATTTTTCGCCGCGTACTTTTCATCGTTTTTATTTTTTTTAGGACTCGTACATTTATAAAATTATTATTATTATTATTATTATTTATAAAGCTTAATTTATATTAATTTAAAAAAAAAAAAAAAACAAAAAAACTTTTTTTAAACTTTCGGTAAATAAATGTTTCCATTGTTTTATCATTTTTTTTTTTTTTTAGGGCAGTGATAAAAAAAAGTTTTTCTAATTGTTTTTGTTTTGTTAAAAATTATTTATTTTAAGTAAATAATATTTTATTATTTCCTGAATGACGTCACACACATACTTAAAATCTTTGTTACAAAAATTTTTTATTTTCGTTGACAATATTATTAGTAAATAAACGATAATTTTTCCTTTTTTTTTTTCCACTAAAATTTTCTTTTTACTAAAAAAAATACTAAAAAATTCAAGTTATTTTTTTTTTAATTAGTTTAATAAAACATTAATTTAAGCAAAAGGGCAAAAAAAAAAAAGCGGTAGAATATAATTAAAATAAATTAAAATAATTATTTGAAACAAACTACGAGTATGTATATCTTGATACTTAATCAAAATAATTTTGCATTCATATTTTTTTTATAATTAGGTGAGATGTTTTTTTTGTAATCCGTGGTAAAATAAAAGCTTTTTAAATTATTATTATTATTATTATTCCTATAAAACTTGTACGAAAAAAAAAAAAAAAAGATGTAACGCCGGTAAATAATAAAAAAAACTACCGTTAAAATTTTTTTTTGGGTTTAAATAAGGTATTCAATGAACTTTGTGTTGTGTCTTCAAGCGTGTGCGTGTGTGTGTGCGTGTTCGTATGCGGTTTGATCTCATTTTTTTTTTTTTAACACAATGAAGAGAATTGAATAAATAATAATAATTATAAAAACAAAACGACAAATTACGGACGGTTTACACGAGATGATTTATGTTTAATAATTTTGTAATTGAATTACATTACTAACGGCCATTGTTGGTTTAATAACAAACAAACAAACAAACAACCAAAAAACACGAAATTTTAATCTGTGTAAAATCTACGAAATTTTTTTCTTTTTAAATTCGTACGATTGTCGTAGTTTGTTTGTTTTTTTTTTTTTTTTTTTTTTTCTAAAACAACCACGTATGATTGTTTTACACAAAACACAAAGAGTTACAAAAAAAAAAAAAATTAACAAACGACAATAAAAAAAAAAGTAACAAACAAACGTAATAAACCATTTTTTTAAAAAAATTTAAGACAATCCGACAATGATTTTGGAATACGTGGCAAAAGAAAAATGTGAGAAGGAGTACGTTTAACTTTAAAATCATTTTTAAAATTTTAAAATAATAATAATAATAATAATAATAACTTCTTATCATATGAGTAAATAATAATGAGTGCGATTGTAATAATTTAGATTCATACACAACTAAGCAAATTTTTTTTCTTTTTTTTCCTTTTCGAAATCACTCGAGTAGTCAATCAAATTTCATTTATTATTATTATCATCATCGTTTTTTTTCCCGTTCGAATATTTTCCTTTTGTTAATTTTCCAAAGTGTTTATTTAAGACATAAAAAAAAAAATTTTAAAAAAAGACGCTGCGGCGAATGAATAATTTAAATAACCGATTATTTTATTTATGTTTTTTTTATTTACACGTGGCCCACGTTTACGTCGTCAGTTTGTGTTTATATACGGCGTAGAACGAGTAGACATTTTTTAACGTTTATTGATTTAAAACGTGTTAATTGTTTTTAAAAAAAAAATCCCTCCTGTTATAAGTATAATTTTAAAACCGTAGAAGAAAAAAAAATTAATAATAAAGAGTTCACAAACGAAAACCACGAGCAAAGTGTAGGGGAGGAGGCGAAACCCCCCTAAAAAATCAATCGACTCTCACGCCAGAAAACCCCCCCCTAAAAAAATTTTTTTTACAGTTTAAATATTACGTATTAAAAATACAAATTATACTAATTAAATTATGCATAATTGATTGCATGATTCTCCAGGACCATCATTTTTTTTGACGATTCCAAACCAAAAATTATTATTATCATTATGATAAGATGACAATAAGACAAATGACATTTTTATTAAATAACTAACGGTCGTCGATTAATATTTATTATTATTATTATTATTATTATTATTATTATTATTATTATTATTAATATTTTTTAGTTTGGTTAGTTTTAATTATTAGACGAAGGAGGAAAATGTTAAAAGAACGCTCGTGGCATTCAAAAAAAAAAAAAAAACAATTTCGTAACGAAATAATAATAATAATAATAATAATAATAATAATAATAGTAATAATTAGTATTTTTTTAAAAGTTCGCGGTTAATACGTAAGAAGAAAAATGCGTTCGTTTTTTTTATAATACGATTCGACTCCAGGTAAAAAAAAAAAGAAGAAATTTATTATTATTATTATTTTTAATGATTTTCCTGATTATTATAAAATTCAAAATGGCGGATCATTTCTCTTTTTATTTATTTTATTTAAAATTTAAATTTTTTTAACGACGTTTTTTTTTTTTTTTTTTTTTTAATCCACGGAATAGAATTTTATTTGTGTCAAAAGTAAAATCATCATTATCATTACCGTTTCGACTTTCATCGACTTTTCTTTCACTTATCATAATTTAAATTTTCCTTTTCACCGATGTAGGTTTCTGATGTAAGTTTTTTTGCGGTTTTTGTATGAAGATGTGGTAAAAGTTTTGTATTACGGATACTCACCGGATTTAATCACTGGTACGGATATCAAAAGATACCCGCAATCACCTTTGACGGCGTTATTAATGCAAGAACAACAACAATTATGTTTACATTTATCCGATGATTTGATGGGTTCGAAAAGTGTTAAATCCAAACCTTCCATATCCGTATCCGTTTCTTCTCCTTCGTTATCACATTCTCCGCAAGTATCGGAAAATGGTTCGAAATCGAATGAGTCCATGATGAATTCTTCATCGTCTTCATACGATTCGAAATGATTAAATTCTAAAAAATCACTTTCGATTTCATCAATATCCGAATAATCTATAGGATCAAGGTAATCACGCCATGATCCTCTGACTTTTGTCACGTCGAGTTGTGGGGATCCAGGCCTTCTGATTGCTTCGATTTCTCGATAATGCTCCATATCGATTTTTCAATCCAATAATAATAATAATAATAATAGATCATCACATTTATTATAATTTTTCAAACTTTTTCACGTTTCTCGGTCAGAATAACATAATAATAATAATAATTTTTTAATATTATTCGTTCGTGTAAAAAAAAAAAAAATCCCTTTTTTTCTGATGATATAATAATAATAATAATAAATCAATTTCAAGAAATTTTATAATAATCGAATAATTGATTATGAAAACTCGAATTATCGAATTAAATATATATCGAATCGAATGGGTAATTTTGGTTGGTTTAACTTTACGAACCTGTTTATTTAAACGAAAATATTTTAATGAAGAGTAATAATGGCGTTTAATAATATATAAAGAGGAATCATCATCCTAACAATTTTTTTTTTTTTTTCTAAACAGGTAATTGAGGAAGTTATAAGAGAAGAATTTGCGAATTAAAATTAAACTGGTATGTTGGATAGAAAAAAAAAAAAATTTACTGCCACGTTTTTTTTTTTTTTTTTTTTTAAATATTTATATGTATACGACGCAAAAATCGTAAAAAAATTGCCCCGGAATTATTTTTATTTATTATTTTTTTTTTTTTTTTTTTAGTTAGTAATAAATAAAACTAATCGATTTAAAAATAAAAAAAATCGAATAAAATCCTGTCTTCTGCCACGTTATTATTATTATTTTTAAAATTGGAAAAGAAAAAATTTTTTTTTTTTCAAATATTTTCATCACGCACGTGAATTGATTTTTTTTTTTTTTTTTGCAAAAGGTAAAAATTATTTTTAAAAAATTATTTAATCGTGTTTGTTGTTGTGTTTGTGTTTGTCGTTGTGTTTGTTGTCGTTGTTGTTGTTGTTGTTGTTGTTGATTATTAAACATTCATTTTGGAATTTTTTTTTTTAAATAAAGAAAAAAAGTCATAAAATGTCTTCGAGAGAGTTTTATGCTATTTTTTTTTTTTTTTTAATCTTCTTCTTCTAAAAATACTTTTAATTTAAAAAAAAAAAAATTTTTTTATTTGCTGCCACGTCAAAAAAACAACAAAAAACAAACAAAACAAAACGTATTCTAACAATTTTTTTTGTGTGTTATTTAATTGCGAAAAACATTATGGTAAATTAAATTATGATTATGTGAATTTTTTTTTTTTTTAATCTTCTCTTCAAAAAAAAAAAACTAACGAGTATGATTGGACGTAAAAAAAAAATTTTGACAAAAGATGAAAAATTTTTTGGAAAAAAAAAAAAAACATTTTTAACAACGCTTCTCCTCAAAAAAAAAAAAAAAAACGATGGTCATTACGACTAAACAAAAATTTCTTTTAACGTAAAATAAAAAAATGGCAAAATGATTCGTTTTTCTTTTACCTTTTTTTTTTTTTTTTAACCGTCACTTTATTTCCGTTATTACAAAAAAGAAAAAAAATCCCGTAGATTTTGAAAATTTCATTTAAAATCTCATCAGGAAAAAAAATTTTTTATTAAACGTTACGCCTAAAAAAAAAATTTGTTGTTGAAAAATCGAATCAACTTTCTAAAATCCGGTTAACGTTTCGCGTTTCCTTTTTTTTTTTTTTTTTTTTTTTGCAATTACCGATCGTGGAATTAGATTTTTTTTTTTAATATAAATTTCGTAAACGGAAAATATATATATTTAATATCAATTACGATGTAATTTTATTAAAGAAATTCGATATAAGAATTTTTTTTTTTTTACCTAATAAATGCTGAATAATATTAAATTTAAACAAAAGCAAAAAAAAAAAAATCCCGTTCAAAACATATAAATAAAATTATTATTATTATTATTATTATTATTATTGATGCTGAGTATTTTATTATTATTATTCTTTGAAAAAATAATACGATAGATGATGATACGAATTGAAAAAAAAAAAAATTTATATTGTTGGCGCCTCGAAAAAAAAAAAAAGTAATTTGAAATTTTTTTTTTTTTTTTTTTTTTTTTACAAAATGGCTGCGAAAAAAAAAAATTTTTTTTTATACCGAAATATCGTCTTGTGTCAAGGGGTGAAGGGGTCGGGGGGAGGGGTGGAAAATAAATAAATTAAAAATTACTCAAAAAACAAAATGGAGGAAAAGAATTAGTTGAGATTTTCACAAATGAAAAATCGATATCGAATTGAATAGAAAAATTATTTTTGATAATTTAGATCGATTAATAGTATTCAAATTAATAAAATAAATTCCTCGGCACGAAAAGAAAAAGAAAATGGCGGAAAAGGAAATGATGGAATGGAAATTTTTTTTAAAGAGTGAGACAAAAACCGGATTACAAGAGTCAAGTTAAGTCATTTTGATGGCATGAAGATAATTATAATATAATTTACATGCAAACACGTTGAATAATTTTCAAATAATAATGATAATAAAAACCGGTGGTTGAAAAAGTCCGGAAAAAAAAATAAAAAAACTTTTATTTTTACCCGTCACGTCGTTTCGTTTATTTATAATTCGAAAAGGATTAGCCAGAGAAAGGATTACCAACTTTGAAAAAACAAAAACTTTTCATTTTTGCCCTCCTCTTCCCAACCCCCGACACCCCTCTTCCCAAAAAAAAATTTTTAAACGTTTTTCCTTTCGATTAATATTAACAATAAATAAATTTTTTTTTTTTCGGTTGGCAACACTTAATTAATTAACGATCGATTTATTAACGCCAAAGTTTTATTTCATTTCTAATTAATATCGTTTTATCGTTAAATAAACACCAACAAAGTTGAAATTATTTTTATAAATAATAAATATTTAAACAATTATAATCGATGAAATGAGGGGGGATGGGGGGAGAAAAAGTAAATTTACGAATAATAATCCGACATTTGGTTGTTGTTGTTGTTGTTTATTATCAATCGTTTGTTCGTTTATATATTTTACGACACCGATTTATTATCATTTAATTTTAAAAAAAATTTCTATTTTCTAACGGTTTTTTTACCATTTTTTTTTTTTTTTTTTTTTGGATACTTAACGAATGAATTTTTTAATATTACGACGCGTTATTTTATTAACTTGGTTGTTTGAAATTGTTAACAAACTTTAAACAAAATCAATTTGTTTAATTAAATCAAAATTGAATAAATAACTCGAATTATTATTATTATTATTATTTTTCAAGGTTTGCAAATCATTTCAAATTACAAAAGAAAAATATATCAATTAAAAAAAACATTTTGTAAAAAATTTAAATGATGCCATTTTAAAACCTTTCAAAAATTATTATTATTATCATTATTATTATTATTATTACTTATCCCTTTTGTATACACGTATATAAACCGAGTCAATATGATTTTATTCACACTTAAATCATTAAAAAAAAAAATTACGAGTCGAAATAAAAAGGAAAGAAAAAACATAAATTTTCTTTTTCTTTTTCTTTTCAAAGCACAAGAAATAATAATAATAATAATAATTTATATTTCAATCCTGTCAAAAGTTTTCCTTTTTTCCTTTTTCTATCGCAAAATAAATTTATCTTTTTTAATAAGTTAAAAAAATTAAAAATATGGCCGATGTGTCTGTCTGTGTGTGTGTGTCTTTCTCTCTCTCTCCGTGTGTGTGTATGGTAATAAATTATAATTAGAACTTTAATAATAATACTAAAACGAAAGAGAGAGAGATAGAGAGGGATGAGAAAATATAATAATTTAAATTTTAAAAAAAAATATTAAAAAAAAGGAAAATTTTATGCACGATATTAAAACATTGTGTCGCGCGTATATTACGTATTTCTTTATTCGTAAAAACCGTTTAAAATTATTATTATTATTACTAAATTTTATTAAAAAAGGTTTAAAAATAAAATATTTAAAAAAAAAGAAAATAATAATAATAATAAATGGCAGAAAACTTCGTCGACGATGGTTAATAAATAAATGAACACTTAAAAATTTGCTTTAATTTCACACAAACCGAAACAATTATTAAATATAAATAAATTTATTACACTTATTAAATAATATTATTATTATTAAAAATTAATTAATAAAATTATTATCACTTTCTTATCAATCACTTTTTTGAATCCGTAAAATTTTTTTTTTTAAATCGAAAAATTTTAAAGATGAAAACAATCGCGCACGACAAACACACACACACGAATTCTTTCTAAATAAAATTTTTTTTTTCTATTTTTTTTCTCTGTCTAATATATTTCTTTCACGGATTTACTAAAAAAAAACGAACGAACGAACAAAATCCGGAGAGAGAGAGAGAAAAAAAAGATGTTTAATCTTTTGGTTGACCTACAATACAACTCAAGACAACTCAAATACTACTAACCTGTAGTAGTAGTAGTGAGAGAATACCATCGAACGTTAGTGTCCAAATCGGCTGAGGCAAGCGAATCTATATATAAAACAAACACGAATATGGCGAATATATCTTATTGCCACGACAAATTTATTTTAAATTAAAAAATCATGTTTTTTTTTTTTTTTTTTTTTGAATTTTCGTGTAAAAAGACAAAAAGATAAAACCACGATTCACGATGTAACGTCATTAAATTTTTAAAAACAAACAACAAAATTTTTTAAACCGAATAGTTTACGTAAAAAAAATTTTTAAATTTGATTTTCTAAAATTTTATGGTTTCGTATAATAATCCTTTTAAATTATTTTTAACTTCTTTTTACAAAAAAAAAAAAAAAAAAAAAAAAAAAAAAGGTTTTCCTTTGTTTGTTTGTTTCTTTCTTTGTCTTTAATAAATTAACTATTAAAAGAATTTAAATAAAACTATTTAAAATTTTGTTTGTAATTATTTAAAAAAAAAAAAAAAGTGATAACCCGGCGATAAACTTTTTGTTTAAAAACAATCGGAATGAACAACGACGGGGAGATTAAAACGAATTGAAATTATTATTTATAAAAAAAACTATATAATTAAATTAAAATAATTTATTATTTTATAAATAATAATAATTCGTGACTTTTTAATTCTAACGCGAAAATGATTGATTACTCACGGTCGCGCGTAT